CGTGATGCGCACTGTGCCACATTGGAACTTGTTACACGGATTACGAGTAACGATAACGTGGTTCGGCAACAGGTGTAGAGGTAGCCCTCGCATTCTGCTTTGTTACCACGATCGGTCAATAACGTTACATTTGCAACCGTATCGAAAGTAGAATCTTGGCTGACGTTCGTATGCAGATTGTTCGCGTACACGAAATCGACGCGAGGAACGCCGAGGGCAGTCGCTCGTTAAATTGTCGAGGAAGTACATAATAGGCGCGGCCGAAAAATTGCACGATGATCCGCGGTCGGATTATGACCGGCATCTTTCTTTATTACCGGGCATAAATTTTGATGAAAAACGGGAGAGGTCCGGAGCGGGCGTAAAAATTGATTCAGTCCGTGTTGCGCGGTGGAAAGACTCCCGAAAGACGCAAGAACGAAGACACAGGTACAGTAAATTCTCCCTAATCTTCCGTCAGCTTGTAAACAAAAATGAACAATCTGAGAGAGGAGAACCTTTCACCGAAACTTACACCTCGTTTTTATAGTTGTGGACAATCGGCAATTATAAAAATCAGCTGTGAGCCTTGAATAATCGTATTTTCTCTTCCAAAATTGTCCGTTTCTGTGGACAATTTACTGTAATTACAGTAAATTGTCCACAGAAACGGACAATTTTGGAAGAGAAAATACGATTATTCAAGGCTCACAGCTGATTTTTATAATTGCCGATTGTCAACAATTACAGAAACCTGTCTCTTATACACATCTAGATGTGTATAAGAGACAGGTTTCTGTAATTGTTGACAATCGGCAATTATAAAAATCAGCTGTGAGCCTTGAATAATCGTATTTTCTCTTCCAAAATTGTCCGTTTCTGTGGACAATTTACTGTAATTACAGTAAATTCTCCCTAATTTGGGAAGATGAAATAAAATTATTCGGGCCTTGCACCTCGTTTTTTAATAATTGTTGACAATCGACAACTATGAAACGATAATAGTAATTCTTCCGACTCCGTGGAGGTTATAAACTTTAATTAACCAACGATTAGCTTGTAATGATATATTTTTCATAGGAAAAGAACGCGGTTGACGAGAGAAATTTATCAGTGATTCCGAACAATTATTGATAAAGAAAGTTCTTCGTCAAATTCTGCATATTTAGACAAAGGTTTTTGAAAAGATGTTCACGGATTAACTGATTTTCTTTGCGTTCGAATGCAACAGGATTACATTTGTGTGATTACTTCGTTTACATCCGACAGAAAGTGTTTCGTAATTAATTAATTACAACGTAATTGCTTGTACGTCAAACGCCATCGCTAATGTTTCGCGGGAGTTTCATTTAAAAATGACTTCGTTGCAATGTTTGTGTACGGTGGCTGATTAAATTATCGGATTGTGCATCACAATTGTGCATCAATTAACGAATTTTCATTGAAATAATTAGTCTTTAGACCAGAGGCTGGGTTGTACAGTAATTTCTCCCTAATTCGCGCTCGGATTGTGCACAAAAATGGACAATTTGGGGAGATGAGATACGATTATTCGAGAGCCTTGCACCTCGTTTTTATAATAGTTATATAGTCACCTATAATCTCTTATATAGTCTTATATACATATATAAGTCACAGTTTATATTAATCTATAGTATAGTGTAATATAGTCTTATATAATCTATACACTATCTATATACTATATAATCTGTATAATCTCTTATAATCTCTATAATCTCCTCTTCCCAAATTTTTGTTTACAAGCTGAAGGAAAAATGGGGAAAATTTCTTGTACAGAGTAACGGAGGCATCGGAAGAATATGAGAATCTTGTTACACGCTTCTCAATTTATCGACGCTATTAACCAGTTAGCTGTTGCAATCACTTTGAAAAGTGTGCAAGCTACTGCAATCAGACTCTGCACGTTTGATTTCTTTTCTCGTATTTCGTTCAAATACAACTCTTTTATGAAACGTATAATTAAAAAGAACAAATAATTGAACATATAAAAGACTAACATATAATTAAAAACGTATAATTAAAAACTAACCGGTTGAAAGAAGAAGCGCGTCATCGGTTATCTTTTCTTTCGTATAATTGATGCAGACGATTTTTAATTTGCATCAAACAAACTGAAGGAAAATTGCAGAGAATAATACTGTATTTTCGCGGTATCGTGAAATTGTTGTTAAAGCATATTAAAAATGATATTTCAGTTGAACGATCTGTTTGTGGCTGTTTCGATCTTGACTTGGAAAACTACGTTTATTATGGTTGAAAACCGACGGTAATTTGAACAAATAAGGAAGGATGAAAGCAATCTCTGCAACGTGGTTGCAGATCGGTGGCCTACTTCGTGATCGCCAGACCGCGGATTTTATGCACTTTACACAACTCTAATTTCGCATAAAGATCCGTAGCCGTAGCTCTCTAGTTTCTTGCATTGCTACAAATCGATTTACGTTAATTTATCGATTTTAATCGATTTACGTAATTAAGCACTGCAACTATGAAGTCTGACAACTGCAACTACGAAGTCTGGCAACTGCAACTATGAAGTCTGGCAATTGCAACGATGAAGTTAAACAAATGCAATATTATTGGACGTTTTAGAAAAATTTTCGTTATTAACGTAAGCGTTAAGTTGAAATTAAACCGTATATATAAATGAAACCTTTTTGTAAAAAAAGAAAAAAACAAGTATATTCTATACTCGCGACAAACTTAACGTAAGCGTTCGACTGAAACTAAATCGGACATAAATGAAACATTAAAAAAGAAGAAGAAAAAACAAGTATATTCTATACTCGCAACAAACTTAACATAAGCGTTCAACCGAAATAAAATCGTACATAAATGAAACATTTAAAAGAGAAAGAAAAAACTAGTATATTCCACACTCGCAACTTAACATAACCGTTCAACTGAAATAAAGTCGAACATAAATGAAACATTAAAAAAAAGAAGAAAAAACAAGTATATTCTATACTCGCAACAAACTTAACATAAGCGTTCAACCGAAATAAAATCGTACATAAATGAAACATTTAAAAGAGAAAGAAAAAACTAGTATATTCCACACTCGCAACTTAACATAACCGTTCAACTGAAACTAAATCGAACATAAATGAAACATTTCAAAAAAAAAGAAAAGAAAAAGACAAGTATATTCCAAACTCGCGACAAACTTAACATAAGCGTTCAACCGAAATAAAATCGAACATAAATGAAACATTTAAAAGAAAAAAAGAGAAAAAAGACAAGTATATTCCAAACCCGCAACAAACATTATTCAGTCGCTTCGCTATAAAAATCTGTCCAAATACCTGGAAGGAATGTAACAAATAATACCGCGCTATCATCGCATAATTGTTTGCGCATCATAAAAATAGCTTGCGTCACGTTTCATTTCAACAATTATCCGCGATCTCTCAATAATCGTGTCTCACGATCAAACCGCGGGATCAAATCGTGCGAAACAAAAATTGTCTCTATTTGTCGCGTGAAACGTCGCGAGCCATCAATAATTTCGGTAAGGTCGATATCCCGTCGTTCTTTCCATCGCCTTACTGCCACAACCCACTGCTTCAACCCACAGCTGCTCCCGCATTCCCTGACGTAAGCCAGCGCTAAATTCTGCGGTAGAATGTTCCGCGATCATCGCGGAATCGTCGATTCGAATGATCCAATTCGCAGCCGAATCTAGTTTCCAGCAACACAAATAGCAGCGCCGCTAAATTACAACTCGCGACACGAGTTACGTTAACTTTTGACGATCAACTTTTTGCAATCAAAATCTATTCGTATTAACGCTAAACCTACCGAGCACTAAAAACGACGAATTTCTGTTGCTCTGTAAGAACGATAAAACCGAATCTATTTAGACTTTCCATAATTTTCATTTCAACGAATACTCGGACTGTGAAATTCATTTAATAATTTCCCATGAAAAAGTCTCTATAATTTCAGCAATTTTAAAATACAAAATGTAAAACCGGTCATTATGACCGGCTTGGTAGGTTTAGTGTTAACACTATGCCGTCCGCAGATCTTAGATATGATTAATATAAATCCCTATAATTGATAAATATATAATATATATAATATAAATCCCTAAAATTAAGATATGTCATCCAAGAATTTTCGTACTTGATTCTTAGTTAAATAAGCACAATGCTGTAGTTAGTTTGCTGCCTTTTAACACACAAGAAATATAGTTCAAATGTCACTTCAGTTTTTTAACCCTTTGCACACGAGCGGTGACTCCGAGGCACCACTAAAATTCGTTACATCACGTTTTAAGATAATTTATATATTAACAAGGTTCAGATTTAAAAAATTGTGAACAATGTAACTGTTGCGTTGGTCCCAAGTGTCAATTTCATACGCGTAAAATGCATTTTGTCACATAAAATAAAAATACTATAAGTTAGAAAAATGATTTTATATTTACAGTTAAAGTAGCTTCGAGTGCGGAGGGTTAAAATGGCACCAAAATGGTATCACCGGCATACAACAGATAGATTTTGCATGGCACCAGAGCGTGGTGCCACCGGACGGCACAGTGTTAAGAAGAAAAAAGAAAAAGAAGAAGAAGAAGAAGAAAATCCATGTTTCCATCGCCACACGTTTGCAAGAGAGCTCGTCGCGTGTAGAAAATTACAAGCAACGAAAAAAGAAAAATCATTCTATGTGCGACTATTTTATTTATCCAACAGCAACTATGTATGTACGTACGTACGTACGTATGTAGTTAACCGGTGTCCCGTCGAGTGGGAGTCGATGATGATAAGGGGAAGGTGGTGGGGCAACTTCTAGAGGGGGCAAGGATAAAGCTGCTACAGCCTGACCTGGATCGTAGCAGTGTTTGTGCCAGTGGCGGCTCGCGAAGAGCCTGTTCGGAGCGAAAGAGAGGGGAGATAGTGTGCGCGCGCGAGAGAGAGCGAGAAGAAAGAGGGAGAAATAGACAGAGAGCGAGATAGACGGAGAGAAAGAGGGAGAACTAGACAGCGAGCGAGCGAGCGAGCGAGAGAGAGGGGGAAATAGACCGGGAGACAGAGAGCGAAATAGAGACAGCGCGAGAAGGAAAGAGAGAGAGCGATATATCCGTCCGCGTTGATTCGCTCGTTCGTGTTTCTTTCTCGCCATTGATCCTCCCTTCTCCGCCGGCCCGGTCAAAGAGCGCACAAAGGAATTCTAGAGGATCGACCGGCAGTCAGTCGGGCCACGATATATCAAGAGCAAGTGCGTTTCCAAGCCGTCACGTAGACGCCGCCGACGACGACGACGACGAAGAAGAAGGTACGTGAAAGAGAGAGAAAGAGAGGTGGTACCATTTCTCGTTGCCGGAAGTGAATAAAGTGGACAGAGACCGTGACTCGTAGACATGTAGCGGCGAATTCCAGTCGCGAGAACCTCGAATGCCAGCGAGAGAGCGGCGCTCCGATCGTTGCCGAGAGAGAGCCTCGTCCGGAGAGTCGATTCATCTGGTTTAACGAGTTTCTCTCGGCCGCGTTCCCTCCCGTCGTCCATTGTCGACGCAGCGCAGCTCCGAAACTGCCGTACCCGTGTACTAACCGTTTGCGACTTTCATCGAGGAATCCCTCCTCCCCTCTCCGCCAAGGTGCGCGGTGTGTAACAAATACGCGTTCGTAGACGATCCAGCGCCGTTCGGATCGCTTTCTTCGCCGGAGATCCGTCCGATAACGAGTCTATGTTTGCCATGCTATCCGCGCGTCACCGTATTTGCGTCGTCGATGGTCGAAGGCGAACGTTTGGAGGCCAACGGAGCGCGTTGCTTCGTCGAAGCGAGTCGGGAGAAGAGCGCGCGCGCGCGTCACGCGACGCTGAAACACGCTTTCGTTAATATAAATACGGCCCCCGCGATCGCTCTCTCTCTCTCTCTCTCTCTCTCTCTCTCTCCCGTGTATCGCCCGATGGATCACCTTTGTTTGCGGCAGGCTCCCTCGGGCATTTCTAGGCCCGTGTAAACAGCTCGCGCTACGACGTCGTTTTGCGAACATCGAGCCTTCGCTAATAAAAGATGCGATGTTCGAATTAACCGGCCGTGGACGGAGCAATTGGTGTTCGCCTCGCGAATCTGCTTGATAACGTTATCGGCACCACGGGTTACATGTTGCGTAATGTTGTTACTGCTTGCTCTTGATCCTCGGCCATGTTCGCACAACAGTTTTATACAGGGTGTCGTGCAACTGGTGGTTCCGGACGCGGCGATTCCGCTCGCGAAAATTAGACGAAAATTGGATTCGGTCGATCGTGGCACTGTTTTAATCGTTTCAGTCCCAAACAGCGCGATCGCGCTCTGTTCAGATCTTGTATCGCGATCGGACTTCAGTGACGCAGGTACAGTAATGTCTCTCTAATTGACGCTCGGATTGTCCACGAAAATGGACAATTCGGGGAGAGGAGATACGATATTATTCGATCTTTGCGATTCATTTTTATAGTCATAAATTGTCCACAATTATAAAAACGAGCTGCGAGGCTCGAATAATCGTATCTCCTCTTCTCAAATTGTCCATTTTTATGCACAATTTACTGTAATTACAGTAAATTCTCCCTAATTTTCCTTCGGCTTGTAAACAAAAATAAACAATCTGAGAAGAGGAGAGCCTTTCACCGAAACTTACACCTTGTTTTTATAGTTGTTGACAATCGGCAATTATAAAAACGAGCCGCGAGGCTCGAATAAACGTATCTTCTCCTCCTAAATTTTTGTTTACAAGCTGAAGGAAAATTGGGGAAAATTTCTTGTACAGAGTAACGGAGGCATCGGAAGAATAGAAGAATCTTGTTACATGCTCCTCAATTTATCGACGCTATTAACCAGTTAGCTGTTGCAATCACTTTGAAAAGTGTGCAAGCTACTGCAATCAGACTCTGTATGTTTGATTTCATTTCTCGTATTTCGTTCAAATACAACTCTTTTATGAAACATATAATTAAAAATAACAAATAATTAAACATATAGAGAACTATATGTTTGTTACGATGTCGGTTAGGGAGACATTACCGTACATCGCGTAGCTACTTTTTCTTCATTTTTTTTCTTTTTGTTTCGTTTGTCGATCTTGACGAGCGCTATCGCGCCGCTTAATTCTCTTCGCAATCAATTAAGACAAGCGCTATTACGCTGTTCGCCACTTTTCGACCGTGTTTTCTGAATAACCACTGGGACACAAACGGTTAATCCTTTGCACTCGGGACTATTCTAATTCCAAAATGAAGACATTTGTTTCAACCATTTCCATTCGATACAATTGTTTTTATTTGATACATATGAAATTGAACACGTAAAATTGAACTTCTGTTTTATTTGACAATTTATCGAGCGCAGACGAATTTAGTAATTATGAAAGTTCTTTTGAGAATAATTTAGCAATTTTTAGCGTCGCCTTAAAGTCGCCGCTCGAGTGCAAAGGGTTAACAGCAATCGGTCGACGTGTCTGACCGCGATCAGCTGATTACGTTTCTCGTGGAAGGACACGCAGTCGTGCAGCACACGCGAACTTATCGGTTTCTGGGACCCAGTTTCTCTCCGAGAGCGAAGCCCCGAATGAAAACTTCGTAATCCACGTTTTCGTATTATTATTACTTGAATCGTTCCACTGCCGGTTGTGTCAATGTTTAAACGACGCTCCGTATAAATATGGAAAGGAATTTTTCGAACAGATTATAAGTTCAAATATTTGCTCCGGAAAGATTCTAAAAAGCGACTTCCTCGTGGTACGATCATCGTGCCGCGTCTCTAGCCTAGCGAGAGCTCCGTCGAGTTTTTCGTTATCGTCACTCTATTGCAACAGAGGATGACGACGTGTTTTCAAACGTGTGTCGGCTTATTAGAATGATCATGCAGGTTTCAGACGAGCCGAAGAATTTCCGCTCCGTCTCTCTCTCTCTCTCTCTCTCTCTCTCTCTCTCTCTCTCTCTCTCTCTCTCTCTCTCTCGAGGATCCGAAAATAAGAAATCTGCGATAACGGGCGCCGGCTATCGGCGGCTTAGAAGTGCCCAAGAATCGTTTTACGTATGATTGCGTAATTTCAGGCGATCTCTCTGCGTGATTGCAATTCACGCGTTTAACAGCCCGCGCTTCGGATGTCTCTCTTCGGGGAAAGCCAATTCTCAGTCGCGCGTGGAACATTCGATCGTAAAATCAATTTTCTGCCGACTTTGCACCCGTTTCTTTTTTCTTTTTCTTTCCTTTTTTCACTTTACCACGCGACGATCACGTTACCGAGCGCGCCAACGTGTTAACGATCAAGTTGCCGCGCGGATTTGCCGGCAATAAAATTCGACATTAATTGTTAGCCCATGGTGACCCGCGTGAAACAATGCGATTTTTAATGACCGTCGATCTTTGATACATAATTCATTCAGCTCGGCTTGCTGCGACGTTCGCACGAATTCGGTTTGTTCGAACCCGCTTTGCTCGCTCTTTCGGCTCGTTTTCTTCCGCTATTCTGCAGAATTCGGTGGATGTTTGCATTTTTTAAGGTTATGTCAAGGTTAAATTATTGTATATATTTGATGGATAATATTATAATCATAATTATATAGATAATTATATTATCATAATTATATATAATAAATTAAAAAAAAATAGATATTTGCTAGATAATATTATAACATATATATAATTATGATTATATAATTATATATAATATTATTCTGTACATATATACAATAATTATATATATTTCATTTTTATTATATTATAATTGTAAACAGAATAATTTTAATATAGAATCTAATAAGTGAATACAATAAAAGAGAATATAAAAGAATATAATAAGAGAATATAAAAGAATATAATAAGAGAATATAACAGAATATAATAAGAGAATATAACAGAATATAATAAGAGAATATAACAGAATATAATAAGAGAATATGAAAGAATATAATAAGAGAATATAACAGAATATAATAAAAATGAAATATATATATAATTATCCTGCATATATAAACAGGATAATTTTAATATAGAAGCAAGTCGTCAGCAAGTCCAGCAAAAATCGCACAACCATCTTGCGTGATTTCATGGCAGCACGCGTAAAGGTTTGACCACTGTTTGTCCCTGGTATGATCGCCAAAATGATTTCGTACGTCTAGTTAGCCGGTGATCGCCTTCAGAAAATGCAAAGGTGCACCGATAAATAGGCAAAAACGGTGTGCTGCACCACGAGGTCGATTGCGATTGAATAAATCTAGATAAGCTTTTCACTCGGTATCGCATCGAGTCCGTTCGTTATCTGGCCGCGGCTTCGGTGAAGTGCCTTACATAATAAAACGGCCGGCCCCGTCGTTTATCGTCGCAAACAAACCGTCCACGTAGAAACAATAAACTCGGGGAGGGTGATTAGCGCTGGCAGAAGATCGCGCCGGCCACGATAAAATCGCCGCGTGTCGGTTATTTGCCGAAAGGAACGTTCTGCTGACTAACAGAGCAAACAAAGATATATCGACGCGCGATGGTAGCGTATCGATTCGACGATGCCACGGCAAACACGAAATTAACATTCCGATCGATACGTGTGCACCGATCTCCCCCCCTCCCCCCCGTCGCCGCCAGCCGACGACGAGAACAGCTCCGATTTTTTGCCGAGTCGGACAACCGCAACCGGTTGCAAATTATTTTACGAGCTGTTCTACGGGACGACGATCCGCAAAATCGTTTTCTAGTCGTAATTTATTGTCCAAATATTACGGTGCTTCCGGGAAATGAGGGTTCCTCGGGCTGTTTTAAGGAACTTTTTCCTTGGCGAAAAGGCGATCCGCGGCTTCGTTTACGAGTTATTAACGAAAAACGGTGACCAATGACGTTGACCCAGCTCTCCGCCTATTGGCTCGGCCGTCTCGCGCCAGCTGATCTTGCTTCTCATTGGTCCACGTTCTTCGTGCCGAGCTGTTCGTTCTTACTCGTCTCTTTACACTGGCTATTTGATATTTTTTACCAAAATTTGATTTATTGTATGTGATTATTGATTCTCGTATATACAACAACGAAACTTATTATATATTAATTTATTATATTAAGATAGCTTGTTACGACCCATTCTTGTGGTGGAAATTATTTCTTCGGTTCTAACTTTGTTGTAAATAATCTTTTAGTTCATTAAATAAACACGTAAGCGTGTGTACACGTGGCGCGGAACGCGTTAAACGAAACTGCAGATTGCATTTTCGGAGAAAAGTTACTTCAAATCGCCTCAGGAATTCCGCACTTGCCGGAAGTACCATAATATTGGGACACCCTGTATGTAGCCGAGGGCCGAACGTGACTCACGACCGTTTTTTTCCGTCGCGATTTCGAAAATTTCTGTAATCTCCAAGCGGACGCTTCTTCCGTGCTCGCCTTCGTCAATTACGTAAACATTATGAAATCAAGTACATCGTACAGTTTTCTTTTTTTTTTATCTTTTTTGCGGAATTTCATAGCGCGCGCAGGCCCGAACGCGCCGCGATTACGCGTTAACGACGCAACTGATACGCGGCCGTTGAGTCGGCTGTGAAAGTTACTGTCCTATATGATTATTAACCACGCGTCCCGGCGTGATCGCTCCGCTTCTAATTGAAGGGCGCAATCAGCGATCACAGAAGGTAATCCGAGATCGACCGATGCATTTTAATCCACGCCGATAATGTGTAATTCGAGGGAATTCAGCCGAACGCCGCATTCTGTCGATTACGTCCTATCCTCGCAATTAATTTGTCGTCGACGCTTGTTGTAAAAACAACGGCTCGCTTTTTCGCGGCGAGCATCTATCGATTTCAATTGAATGCGACCAATTAAATTAGTTTGCTTTTTTTTATATAGAAAGCTTGTGCGCGCGCGATGTAACCTGCGGAAGATCGTGATCAAAATGTCGCGTGCATCGTTTTCACCGATTTTGGTTCCCAGTCCAAAAATGGAAGACAACGAAATATCAAGGAACGAAATAATCGAACAAGAATAGTTTTGTTTTATGCGAAGAACGATCAAAATCAAATCGGATTGAATAGATTACTTTATCGATAACAATGTCGATAACGATTTTAATTACTGCAAGATTTGATAAAACTCGACGCAGTTTCATTTCATTCGAATCTACAGCACGTATCAACAAAAAGATCGAAAATTTTCACATTTCTCCGTAGAACATAAATCTGCGGAAACTGCAACAATTTACTCGGCGTGCACGATACTAATTAAAATTGTACGCGTTCGTGCAATTAACGTTGACGAACGCGCACATCTCGCGCGCAAAATCTGCATATTCGCACGCTTCTGTGAAACGTATAACTCAGCTCGCAATATCAGAGTATATACAGGGTGACTCAAAATTATGGCGCAAGCATGAAATGAGGGATACCTGAGGTCATTTGAAGTAACTTTTTCCTTTACAAAAATTTTCTCCGAGACATCGTTCACGAGTTATTAACGAAGAAGCAGTGACCAATGAGAGGAGAGCGCGAGGCGGCCCAGCCAACGAGCGCACGCAGTACAGTTCCGCTGATAGGCTCGGCCGCTTCGGGCTAGGCGAGCTCTGGTGGAGTCAACCAGCGGTCGAAGCCTAGTTCCGCTCATTGGCTCGGCTGCCTCGCGCCAGCTGAGCTGGGATTCGACCGCTCGACCGCTGGCGCCGTTGGCTCGCGCCAGCCAAGCGCTCGCTTCTCATTGGCCACCGTTTTTCGTTAATAACTCGTAAACTAAGCCACGGATTGCATTTTCGCTAAGGAAAAAGTTTCTCCAAATGACCTGAGGAATCCCCCACTTCCCGCTCGTACAATAATTTTGGGACCCCCTATTTAACAAATTTCAACGGGTAGTGGAACACAGTAGCAATATTTCCTGTTACAACGAAAACGTTGTCAGCACTCGTCGAAAACGGCTAGCTGGTTAAAAAAAGAGGAATCGTTCGAATTCGAAGACTTTTTTAAGAACATTTCCCGGCAAGCGAACTCTAACAAGGTCCATTTATCACCCGCAGATTCACGCGAAGTTCAGAAGCAAGACGGAAGGATGAGCAAAACGTTCACGAGGAGCGAAGTCGCGGATGGCAGCGGCAAGGAAAAGACCCTGATAATCCTGCACGACAAGGTGTACGATGTCACGTGCTTTCTGAACGAGCACCCCGGCGGCGAGGAGATCCTGCAGGAGCACAGCGGGAAGGACGGTTCGGAGGACTTCGACGACGTCGGTCACTCGAAGGACGCCTTCGATCTAATGAAGAAGTACGTGGTCGGCGAGCTGGTCGACTCCGAGAAGAGCAACAAGAACCCGAAGGAGGGCTGGGCGTCCAGCTACGGGAAGGAGACCCAGAAGAAAGAGGAGGACGGGATGAATCCTCTGGCCCTGGGCCTCGTCGTCGCTATATTCGCCGCCATTTTGTATTTTGTGTACTTATAAAGTCTCACCCCGGAGACTGGGCCCGTGCTCGGGGCCCGAAAAAGGACGCGTGGTTCCGGGCGTGACGCGTCGACGATCCGGGGCCTACGACCGACTGACTGTGTCTTTCTATCCTTATTGCCTTCTTAACGGCCTTGCAACACGCACCGTGGCGACCGCCCGGGTCCGTTTTCACCGTTTCTCGTCGATTTTCCTCGATCTGTCGGACGTTCGAAAAATCGCTGCATCGCCGAGCAAAAAGAGACGGAATTGTCAAAAGCGGCTTCGATCGAAGCTACATAATTAGATACAATCGGCTTTCTCGCGTGGAGTTTACGCGTCTTTTCTCGGCTGTGCGACGATTACGGAGCCTAATTGCTTTGCGAACGTCGCTGATAAGAAACTGTGGAATTAGGCGAAACGGGTCGAAACGCGCCCAGGCACGTTGAACAAAGCGTAGAGAGCCGGGGATAAGCGCGCGTCGACTATCCGCGTAAATCGCCGGAGGGCTGTCGACCCCCTAGGAACCATAACTTCCAATAAGCGGACGCGCGCCTGCTTGGACAAATGATCGTCGTTGTTCCTTGTTATATCGTTATTTTGTGAAATAGAGCAGGCGCGGCCGTGCTCGCTCGAGAAACGGTAAATACACGTATTTCAATGCACAACCGGAGTCGTTGGTTTTCCTTCCCACTGAATCGATCGCCGGAGTAGTGTTAGCGTTCGATGGAGCCCATTCGGGTCGACGGTGACCCGAGGTAACGATATTACACGCGCGATAACGGAACAGTATCATTGTTTGTGGTCGACCATCTCTCGCTCATTCTATTAATACCGTATTAACATTTAGTGCGTTCATTAACCCGGTACGACGTGTTTGTTGGGAACTAATGGTAGATGCTACGTGTGCGCTCGGTAATTACCGCGTCGATTAATTATGTACTACGAATTTCCGTGTACTTGTACGTGTAAAGTGGTATTTTTCGAAAATATACGCTCGCTGGTTGCTGGTTATGCGAACATCAGATCGGTATCGTTATTGATTTCTCGTTTTGGGCAGATATTTTTTATGGCTTAACATCGACGAAAGTGTCGAATCGATCGATTTAGTAATTTAGTAGATCCATTTAGTTATTAATTAACGCTAGATTTACGGAACCCGTGAAAATGACGGATGTCACTAATTGAGTTATTTATTCAGTTTGTATGTTGCTTACGGCAAATGTTACAATAACACTTGGTAAAAATCAGAATAAATGTCTTATTGTTAGTTTAGAATAGAAAACAGCTGTTTTTGTGCTTCGTAAATCTAGTGTTAAAATCGAATATTTTCCAATTCTCCAATTTTTTACTGTGGTTATTGTAGTCTTACGTTGATATCATTTCTTCAGCAGTTAGATGTCTTATTGTTATTTTTATGAATTAACATAAAACAGCTGTTTCTCGTGCTCTGCAAATCTAGTGTTAAAATCGAATATTTTCCAATTCTCCAATTTTTTACTGTGGTTATTGTAGTCTTACGTTGATATCATTTCTTCAGCAGTTAGATGTCTTATTGTTACTTTTATGAATTAACATAAAACAGCAGTTTCTTGTGCTCCGCAAATCTAGTGTTAAAATCGAATATTTTCCAATTCTCCAATTTTTTTTACTGTGGATACCGTAGTCTTACGTTAATATCATTTCTTCAGCAGTTAGATGTCTTATTGTTACTTTTATGAAGTAACATAAAACAGCTGGTTTCTTGTGCTCCGCAAATCTAGTGTTAAAATCGAATATTTTCCAATTCTCCAATTTTTTTTACTGTGGATACCGTAGTCTTACGTTAATATCATTTCTTCAGCAGTTAGATGTCTTATTGTTACTTTTATGAAGTAACATAAAACAGCTGGTTTCTTGTGCTCCGCAAATCTAGTGTTAAAATCGAATATTTTCCAATTCTCCAATTTTTTACTGTGGTTATTCTAGTCTTACGTTGATATCATTTCTTCAGCAGTTAGATAATTCTTAATCCCAGAGCATTTTTAATACTACGAGGATGGATTTATTCGAATTCAGTAACTCGATATGTGCAAGTTACACAATTCTTCTGTCAAATTTGAAGCTTTGATTACAGACTACTAAGTAAGTTGAACGATGTTAGGAATGCGAGATGTTAACAGGGTTACAAAAGCAATATCGTTCCTTATCTAATTAAACAAATCGTTCTGTGTTTGTGCGCCTTTTGTGGACACTGTTGTGCAGTCTCTGCGATAAAGATTATCTCGAAATTGATTGATGCTTGAAGAATACCGTGGCTTATTTAACGCTTTACTCGACAGAAGCCTATCAGTAGAATCTTTAATAACCGAGCTACGTTGTAAACGGAGATCGAGAATTCTTTGCTAAATAATAATCTCGAAAGAACTTGCTACATTACAATAATCCAAATAATTTGTTCAATTACGGATCAAATTATTGTTGGAGTAAAATTTTCAAGAAATGTTCCACCGTTGTTTCAAAATAACTATTAGAGAATTAAAAAGTGCAATAGTTGAAACGTATAATATGAAACAATTAGAAATTGATTGATGCCTGTAGAATACCGTGGCTTATTTATTATTATAGGCAGAAGCCTATCAGTAGAATCTTTAATAACCGAGCTACATTGTAAACGGAGATCGAGAATTCTTTGTTAAAATAATAATCTCGAAAGAACTTGCTACATTACAACAATCCAAATAATTTGTTCAATTATAGATCAAATTAATGTCGCGTTGGAGTAAATTTTTCAAGAAATGTTCCACCGTTGTTTCAAAATACAGTAATGTCTCTCTAACTGACGTTTCAGATTGTGCACAAAAATAGACAATTTAGGGCGAGGAGATACGATTATTCGAGCCTCACAGCTCATTTTTATAATTGCCGATTGTCAACAACTATAAGAACGAGGTGTAAGTTTCGGTGCAAGGTTCTCCTCTTCTCAGATTGTTTATTTTTGTTTATAAGCTGAAAGAAAATTACGGAGAATTTACTGTAATTACAGTAAATTGTACACAAAAGTGGACAATTTGAGAAGAGGAGATGCGATTATTCGAGCCTTGTGCGGCTCGTTTTTAAAATTGTTGACAATTCGTAACTATGAAAACGAACCGCAAGGCTCGAATAATCGTATCAGCTCGCCCTAAATTGTCCATTTTCGTGGACAATCTGAGCGTCAATTAGAGAGACATTACTGTAACTATTAGAGAATTGAAAAGTGCAATAGTCGAAACGTTTAATATGAAACAATTAAGAAATCAGCTATTGTCAACTCAGCATTGTTGAGAGAACACGATCGTATCTGACGCGTGGCATCGTCGATACCGTTTCGAATGTTGCTCGCCGAGGCAAATAACAAAACTTCGCGGCCTCCTGACGGAGAAGAACGACTTCGTTGCACGCGAAACGGCAAAGAACGCGGATCAATTCGTCGGATCGGAACGACAATTCGAGGAACGTCGGCGTCGTTTGACCCGTGCTCGAACCGCAGACCCCGTCCACGGTTCTCTAATCGTTAAATCAGTCGTTCCCAAGCGAACCGTCAAGAAGAAAGCCGAGCAGGCATTTGCATCCGAATGGCTCGCGTCGCAAAAGCCTCGTTATAAGTTTTCAATGAACGGCAGAGTCGAGAGAGAAGCGACGCGATCCAATCGATAGGATTCCTCCGCGGGTCTGTGTCTGCTCCTTAGCGCAATCCTAGTCGAAGGAGCTCCGCTTTCCGTTGTTCTCCCGCGAATAACGCTTCGGGATACTGTTGCTGGCATCGTTTAAATTTAGGCGACATTAATTTTGCTGCGAAAATCACAGCGGTGCGATCTGTGCAATGCGAAACTCCGAATTTAGTTCAAATTCGCGTAAACCGCCCAATCCCGATCCCGATCATTTCTTGGCATTTGTTTATATTTTCAATTAGTTCGGCGCGTATAAAACACGTTCGATCTTTAAATAAGTAGCGAAAGCTGTCATTTAAAAGTATTAACAAAAGTATCGTTTTTTGACAGATGTTCGCTCCATCAAATTATGACCCATTTGTTTCGATACGATCTTCTTGAAGAGTTTTTAACACACAGGGTGTCCCAAAATTATAAAAAGAGGGAAATAAGGCGTCACTGAGGTTATTTGAAGTATCTTTTTCCTTGGCGCAAATGCAATCCGCGGCTTCGTTTCAGTCGAAAGACTTCTTTCAAAATGGCATTTATACAGAGTGTTCGAAAATTATAGTGCTTCCGGGAAACTAGAGATTCCTGAGATCATTCGAAGCAACTTTTTCCTTTACAAAAATTTTCTCCGCCGCTTTGTTTGCGAGTTATTAATGAAAAACACTGACCAATGAGGGGCGAGTTCGGCTGGCGCGAGGCGGTCCAGCCAACGAGCGCACGCAGCACACTTCCGCTCGGCCGCTTCGCGCCAGCCGAGCTCGCCTCTCATTGGTCAGCGTTCTTCGTTAATAACTCGTCAACGATGTCTCGGAGAAAATTTTTGTAAAGGAAAAAGTTGCTTCGAATGACCTCAGGAATCTCTAATTTCCCGGAGGTACCATAATTTTTGGATAGCCTGCACAAATGCCATTTTGAAATAAGTCTTGACTGAATAAACACGGTTACAGAAATTTAAATACCATACTCGTTTGCTAAGTATTGTAAGACAGAAATTCTTAATTTTCGGAGTAGCATAATCGTCGGCAGTTCCGTTATATCCCCCGAAAGGAGACGTCTATGTGAAAAAGGTTAAACTTATCAAGCCGTAGTAACAAAGACGCCATAGTTACAGCAGATTCTCCCTAATTTTTCTTCAGTTTGTAAACAGAAATTTGGGAAGAGGCAACTATAAAAATGAGCCGCTCGAATAATCGCGTCTCCTCTTCCCATATTGTCCATTTTCGTCTACAAGTTGAAGGAAAATTACGGAAAATTTACCGTATTTGCTAGAAAAGAAACTCAGGGGAATCCACGAATCGCAATGGAACTCGAGGCAATACAACCGGACACATAGTAAACTGTCAATGGTGCGGCGTCATCGAAGCGAGATAGTTAAGCGAGTCGAACCCGGCTATTTCTGGCAGGGTTATGCGCTCGAACACCGGAAAATAAAGGTTTGCGGATCGCCGGCGCTAATTGAAAAGAGATCGTAGACGTTAACGAAACGGACCGCCGAGAGCGTCGGCGTCAACTAGACCGGGAGAATTTAACAATGCGCGCGCGAGGACGGCCTGGATGAGGAAGAGGAACGGCCGTTCGGCTGGTTCGTACATACGTGTCCCGCTTGAATAGGGAACGCCGGCGAGCTCATAGAAAACACTCTCTACTCTGTCTGTCGCAGCTAGCTCCTATAAACGTAGCACCGTTTCTTAGCGGAACGTCGTGAATGCGAAACGAAGCACCGTCGCGAATGAAATGAAATCGATGGGGGGCTAAAGCGACGTCTCTCGGGGGCGGGCCAGGTCGAATTGAGTCTCGCGTTAACAATCGCGTAATGCGCTCCTCTCGGCGAACTTTGTCGTTCGCGAAACCGGAAGACGGTACACCTGGCGATAAGTAATTGAATTGCTACGAATAAATAGACGCGGTACCGTGAATCGCGAACGGGTTCGATCTCTCCTTGCAACGCCGGGCCAACGAGGGACATGGACGCTTTCAAAGAAGAATGAAGATGATTGAGAGAGACAGAGAGAGAGAATGTGACGTGATCATAGTCGATGGCGCTACAAAACTAAGGGAAATCGATCGGAAGACGGGATCGATGCTTGTGTCTCCCGCTGAATCAATGCCACCCTTCCCTCCCCCGCCCCTCTTGGGCAACGTCTGGCCCCGTGCGGCATATTTAATAATGCTTTTCAACCCTTTGCGACAGAATCCTCCGTCCGTCTCCGTTGATCGGGAACAAGCGACCTGTTATTGATTGAATACTTGACGTCGATTGAAGAGAGACAGAGAAAAAGAAAGAAAAAGTGCGCGAGAGAGAGAAAGAAAGAAATAGAACGAGAGAGAGAGAACAAGAGAGCTAA